TAAAAACTTCGAAGCAGCACTGAATTGTCTCTAGTACTGACAACGTGGGTTTCAATAAATTAGTACCACAAGGCCAGAACGATCACGCATTCTGGCAATTAGTTGTGAAGGGCTCGCGATAGATCTCATTAAGGCATCTCATCCGATAACTGTAAGCCAAAAAATTACGAATTCTTGTCTTGCTTCATTCTGGAGTAATCATATTAGCCTGGATTTCTTTTCCAAATGTATATAGGCTAAGACGTAGCCAGGCGTAAAAATTCAATAGTTTTAGGTCTGATGTTCAACATACATCACTGCGGCAAATTTATGCTGCGGGTTTCTTTTAGTGCGAATCCAGGAGAAGCGGGCAATGAATCCAGGAAAAGCGGGTTGGTACGAAAAGCGAGTTTAGCATGCGAAAGATAATGCTAACAAATTACCAAATATTTCACCATTTGCAGCGTACTCGGTCACCAGATAAAGCATATTTTTTGTTTCCATCACCTATAACTCGAAAGAAAAACAGATTCAAGGTGCTAAATGTTCATTTGTAATTAATAATTGATACCCCTTTGACTGCCCAGCAAAACAATAACATTCAATCGCCTGGCAATTTTTGTACAAGCAATCAAATAAGCTCAATTCAGCAACACTCACAGACTGCTATACTTTCTAATCCTTCGTAGATTCTAGACACAAGTTTATCTACAGCCGTTTTAGATAATTTTAAAGACACGCGTGCAAATCAGAAGCCACAATCCACCAATAATATTCGCATGGCTCTGGTTGCTTCTCATTATTTGCAAATTCCGCTTTAACAGGAAGGAGTGAGCGGTGTCCTCGTTCACAAACAAATTTTCACTCACTGCCAAACCGGAACGCTTTGCGTTTATTTTTCCGTGGCAGCCTTAAGTACCTAGAAAGGTAATAAGGTGAACAGATTTGGCAGAAACTAGAAAAATAGATCAGAATTTTCTACGCATAGATTTTTAATAAATTAAAACAAATCATGCAATGACCCAAACAAAGATGACCAGCGCTGAAATGTGGCAGAATGAGATGAATTATATAATGCGGCATGCATTTTTTTTAAAAAGCATTTCTGTATTTCACTTGGCCAAACATAGAATTTTTTTAAGATAAAATGCGTCAAATCCAGTCGTGTGAAAAAAATCTGTTCGTATTTGTGCAACACTTCCGAATTGATTTGTTTTTTTTGGTGTCAGGACTAACTTTTCCCTTTCGCTCAGACTTGAATTCTGCCTTTTTTTTGCTTCTTTATCGTCTCAGCTGGTAAATCAAATGAAAAGAAAAATCTGCCAAGCAAGCTGGACTGTGTGACAAAATTGGTAATAAGCCTGTAAATGTCGCCAAGAAAATGCAAAGTTCATCCATCTAGCAAGAAAGTAGACCAAATAGAAAGAAAAATTGATTACAAGGACAAGAATTACATTTTAAAGCAAGGAGCTGCGAACCACATGATGTGTTGGTTGGAAAAAAAGAGACATTAACGGTCAGCTTCCGCCATGTTCGACCTAAATTCGCCATTAACACCCGGAGGGCGTTTTGTAAAATTACCCGACGCTGAATATTAGTCATGCATATTTTACAGGATGGGAAGCAGTACAG